TGTATTTAATCCATAATATCTTATTTTGAACTGTTCATAACTAGGCACGTATTAAAGAGCACATGAATCTGGTAACTTCAATTCTTTAAAAATTATATTAGAATACTTTACATTTAAAAAAGTGATTAAAATGAAAAACAACCCAGCACTGTGGGGACGTAGTATAGTTAGATCCAGTATAGATGATATCTGATAGTGATTAAAATCACTATCATAAAAAATGCTTAGATGAAAATCTGTAGATAGTCTTTTTATTTATAAAATTATCTCCTATTTCTATCAATATTCCTAATTTGTAAGTATTTATATAGTACTTAATTTATAAGTATAATTTATGAATTATGAAATTGATATTTAATCATTTTTTTCGAAGAATTTATTAAAAATTATAAAGTAGTTATTTCTTTTATAACAAACATGTATAAAAATTTGTTGTTAATTAAGAATAAATGGTCTGCAAAAAAATTTTCATCAGAATAAAATGCCAGTACAGGGGGATCGTGGCACAGTGGTGACGTGGCATAGTTAGATCAAGTATAATAATATCTGACAGTGATAAAAATCACTATAAAAAAAAAACGCTTCAATGCAAATCTTTAGATAATGTTTAATTTTAAAAAATTGGTGTATTATTCCAAAAGCTACATAATCTGCTAATTCCTTATTAATGTCCCGATTAAGATAAAGTATGTCGAATAAAAAAGGGATTATTAAAAAATATTTTTTTTAATATTAAAGTATATTACATATGCTTTAATTTAAGATATATATAAAAGTGTCAGACTTTCTGGAACACTTTTAAAAGTTAAGTTGAAAAAGTTCTACTTTCTATATGCATTTTTATGTTTTGAACCCATCCTGTATTAAGGAAAATGATCCGATTTAAAAAAAACAGTATGTCGAATGAAAGATGTATATAAAAACTACTTCTCATGAAAAAATTGTATTGATCCATACATATTTCAAAAAGTTATAGCACAATAAAGTTAAAAATGTAAAATACAAAATCGAGAATTTTCACACAAAAATAGCATTCGGTAGCCAATTTCACCGTAAAGATAAAATAAAGTCTGAAATTTTTTTTTTTTTCATAATAAAGTATATTACATTAGCTTTAATTTAAGATGTATATAAAAGTGTCAGTATTTCCGGAACACTTACAAAAGTTAAGTTGAAAAAGTTAATTTTTTGTGAAAAAGTTGTCATTTTAAATTCCCCCTGTGGGCAAGTCTTGGATCAAATTTATAAAAAAAATATACCAAATGATAGGTAAATATCTAAGGTATCTATAAAATATATATACAGGGTGGCCCACCACTCACTGACAACTTATATAACTTTTGATCCAGTTAATATTTTTAGTTGATTTTTTTTTTA